AGAGCAGCCTCACCCATCTGGATTGAATTCACCTATCTTGAATGGTCACTCAATCAGCAGGCACTTGAGCATTTGAACATGAAGATGCCATTCTGATGCCACTTTCTCATCTATTTTATTGATCTCCAATTAGTCCCCTCTCCCTTACAAAATAAAAATGAACTGAGCTGACTCTCCATGTGTTCCCCGGGGCAATTACTAGCCGTGCTTCACTTGCTCTCATGATTGCTCTAATCATGAACTTGTTATCCAGACACTTTCTAGCAAACTTACTATACATACAAATTCTCCTTGAGCACAGTGTGGATTTATACAGATGAATCTCCTGTTTTCGATTTTGGTTTCTGCTTTTTCTCACTGAACCATCGACATTACTGTTTGTGTGTGTTTCACGATCCTCGGTTAGAACCAAACATGCAGGCTTTTGGAGTGAAATATTTTCACTTGAACTTTTCCACAAGATATGAGGAGGTGACAAAAATAACTTCGTAGTTCATTCCCGATTCGTTTTTATTCTACCTGAACACACCACTTTAAATTTATCACAACATTCGCTCTTTTTATCATAGTTTTTCCAAAAACCATGTTCAGCATAATATATTTATTGTGTCTAAACGAGTCTACAAATTAGCACACGGGTTACCTCTGCCTGAACCCACATGCTCCATTCCTGATTGGATACCGAAATCAACCAATAGGATGCATCTATCCTCAAACTTACCTTATACACATACAAATGAATTGCACAATGAATGAAAAACTAACAGTGTCACTCCGGAACATCAGTTTGCGGCGAAGCATGAAAGGATTTAGCTCGGTATTTTCCCAAAGTTCTCTTGTACCCCTGGCTAAAATTGCCAATGCTCCATCCCGTTCATTACGTTTATTATGGGCTGTTTTCACAGCGACCATGTTTGTCGGTTTGTGCTCATGTATCACCCTGGTGGTCATTCAATACTGTCGACATCAGACTGTGTTCCAACTGGATTATTCCGGTAGACATGTGATCTATGACCAAATTCCCGGCCTCACTTTGTGCCCACAGACACAAGAAGCCAAACGTCTGTTTCATTTGGCCGTCAGCATGGATCCGAATAAACATCCGTCTCCATGGTTGACCAAGAACGCACTCGATCGATTTCGTCAACTGGCTCGGGAGCGTAAACCGAACATGTCGTTCGAGGTGATCACGCATAGAATGCCACCGGGACAGCTTCAGTGGGACACGGAGAAATCGGCTCTGTCCCCGTTGTACAGTATGCTGCACAATTTCAGTGTGCGTTTTGTGATGCAACCGCCGCAGATGGGAGACAGTCATCGATTGACCGTGATGGAACAGGTGAGTGTGGTTGGTATACCAATGAGGCATGCATGGGGTGAGAGCAATAATTGTGTATGTGGAAGGGAAGGTTGATGGCAAATGATTGGGCGAGGTTAGGCAGGGCTTTTTTGTGTTGGACGAGTGAGTAGCTTCAATAGTCTACATTTAGGTGTTCCGGGTGTAGGAATAAAAATTATGCGAAAGTTCGCAGGTGTTGAAAAGATTCTGGAATCTCGAATTCATAAATTTCTGGTTTCACTTTATTCAACTATGGTCACCTGGCGAAGGTTATCGTTTAACTTGACCCTCTGTATGTCTGTCCATTTTCTTCCTGTCACTGAGTAGCACTCAAAATGACACCCTTCTTTCTAAACGTTCATTACACTTCCATGTTTCTTAAATAATATCACTTCATACAACCACTTGATTAAAATTTAACAATATATATATATATATATCCAGCAATAATACCAATGTTAATTATCGCCCGTAGGTTTTGGAAAGAATTATTGTTGAAAATAAAATCTGTTCTTCCTTAGAAAAAAGGATAAACGACTAAAGACTCCGTCTGTGGTTATCGCTTACCACAACCTGAGATATGAATACCAAACAACTACCAGATCACTTTCGCGCAGATTCTAATAAACAACTGAATCGCGGAGCATGTGGGAGTAGTCCGCTTCATCTGAGCGTCAGAACAGCAACACCCTGTAAAGCCTGGGGACTTGAAATTCAATCGGATCCGATTGCAAGCACTGCCCATTAATGATTAGGAACAAGCCAGGTGAAACCATTGCGGGGTGAAGCACCGTGGCTTTTCTCTGGTCGGACATATGGACATTTCCCAATTAGACTCAATTGCTAAACTATCTGTTTCCCTGTTCCGTGTCACGTTATCTCGGAATAACCAATTCACATTATTTCACCCATAAAACAAATCACCCAAAATCGTTTCGCATAGAAAGGGATTGATCTAAGAATATCTGAGTGAATGAATACATTGTCCGACTCAAAGAAAATAACTTGCTATATGGGAGGAATGGACGGTTTGATTTGATTAGATGATGAATACATGGTGTAAATGAGGAGTGAGCTGAAATGCTAGGAAGTACTCAACAGCTATCCTGAACTGGTTCGGTCTTATCAGCAGTGATTGAATCCATCGACCCAACTGGAGATCAAGAACCCGGAACCTCACAGGCAGAAAGCAAGCATTCTACCCAATTAGTCACCGGGTAGCCGATCAGACCGTTTCTAATTTTGAATACATACGATATAGCACAACCCAGCTTTGTGAGCTTGTTGTCAGCAACGGACACTATTTATCTCAGCACCAAACTTCAGGGTTATGACATGCTTGGAAACTTGCACAACCGGACGACTCGTTACATGATAAGAATAAAGTAATTTGATTTTATGAGATGATACATTTGTCGTGTAAATGAGGCATGAGCTGGAGAGCCAAGAAGTACTGAACAACTGTTTCGACGTGTTTGAGTCTTATCAGTACAGTGCAGGAATTCATCGACCCAACATTTACTTTTATTGGTCAAAACAATGAGTTCACTTTGGTAGGACTGTCATCTCAACTGCCTAAACGAATGGCAAAATTTGAGAGAGTTAAATGCACAAAGTCATGGTTTAAGCAAATATCAGTTGTCAGGTAATCTCGACGAAAGATTATATGCGGAATATGGACTGGACAGAAAGTTAAACGCGGAGTAAGGGAAAAGGCTTAGTTGTGCCTAAATATCGCTGAGATTTGGAAGAATACTTAAATCTAGATTTCAAATATCTTTTTCCATTCTTTTCGCTTCATGAAACTTATAGGGATCGATCGGTTTCCTTTTTTCTAATCGGTAAATATTTGTTAGACACTGGTCAACTGAACACGGAAATCGGATTTCCTAAAACCAACCCCGGCTATAATTCCTTTCATTTTTCCGGTTCGCGATTGTCGAATTAGACGTCTTGTTTAACAGAATTACGTCCCAAATTTGGAATCCCTCGGGGGGGGGGATGATTTTGTTTCCCGTCGAGTCGACGAAATCACCTCCCGGTCACTTGTGTTATTGTCAAGGTAGCGGTTTGATAGAAGCATCTTACTCACATGCGAATTTCATTGATCCATTCGATTACCTTGTTTGAAAACTGGTATGGTTAGGGTTGAGCATGGGAAGGCAATCTGTCGATCGGTTGATGAGTGCACCTTAGAAACATGCCATTAGGTATTTTACCGTGCCGGGGGGAAAAAGATGTGGAACAGAGTGGGGTCAGACTCCGGTAAACAATAGGAAAGGAACAGGGTTCACTGTTCCGTATATTCTTCGTTTAGAATTTTCGATTTTAGGTAGAAAATATGGTTAATAGCTCTACTCATTCGAACAATCAAAAGTCGCGCACGAAATTTCATCAATGAGCGTTCAGTTTTACTTTGTGGTGCTCACAATCAAATTCCCTGAAAAAAGTCAAGGAGAAAACAAACAAGAAATTAAACGCTTACCCTATTCTCTATATCAGATTTCGGATACGTTTCACAGGATAGACTTGTGTTTTTGGTCACACCAAAATATGAATGCTCGATTTGCATGCGCATTCCGTAACTCCAATCAACCGGAGGCGGGGGGCTAATGTCGACGGAATCTGGAATGTGATTAGTGGACAATTAGATTGGATTAGATGTGATGAAGTTTGTCGTGCACAGAGAGCAGATAAAGCGTGAACTGAAAAGCTATTTCGACCTTATTTGGTCTCATCAGTTGCGCAAGTCCGTCAACGCAAGCTGTTTATCCGTATCACATCCGGGTTCAGGACCATATTCAGCCTTCCGAGTTTTGACTACTTGGACCACGAGATCGAATCACATGGAAACAGCTTTGGTTCATACGTCATTTGTTCTGTACACAACGAAATTCACTGTAGAATCTGAAGTGTTGGCGTTCAAAATTGGGAACTATGTTGTGGCATTTTACAAACACCGAGTGACGAGCATTGCGATTTTGTAAAATCATTATTGAGGGTTGAAAATAAAAGTCACGTGTTATTCGTTGAATATCACCACAAACAATAACATACACAAATCCTTTCCTCAATATTATCGAATATGACCACTTTCCATGATAGCTGAACTAAACTTATCTCAGGAAATTCCATGACCACATTGATGTGTTGTTATTTTCCTTTACGTTTCCTTCAAATCGCATAGTTATATACCGGTGAACAGAGCCAGCAGGACTGAATAAACCACGCATGGACGCCGCTTACACTTTTATACAGCGGACTGTACGGTAGATTACGGTCGATTTTAAGGAAAATCTTTCGTGGTAGTCAACTTACATACTACCTGATAGAGTGTGCGTGGGTTCGAATTTTATAAGGGCTACTGACAGTTTCACAATTGAAACATGACTTAAATCTGCTAAACAACATAACGGAACGATAACAGAAATATTATGCCAGCGTATTAGTGTAATCATATAAAATAGAAACAGTCTTGTATTACTGGTATACAATTACCCAACTATGCCACTAGATGTCCACACTGTTTATTAAGGTGAATAAAACGTACCAGCGATCACCTTTGATTATGCATTGATTCATGATTTTTCAAATTGAACTTTGGCAGATTAAACTTTTATATTGAAATGGTGAAAACTTCAGTAACCTCGGTGAGATGCAATGATTTGATAAGACTGTTGATCATTGCCTAGAAAACCACAAACGTTTATTAAAGTATTTATCTATTTTTATTAATGATCATGATCGACCATTATTTATTTTTCATAATTAAAACAAGATGAGCTGGCATATCTCTCTCTTTAGATGGTGGAGCTAAGTGTTTCACCGGAGTAAACCAAAACACTTTGTTATAAACACTGGTAGTTACCAGGTTTGTAAAATGACTAGATATTGCTCTACTGAATACGAAGTATTCTAATGGTTACCTAATATTGCGGTCCAACACTGTTAGGAGCTTGAAAGGATTCGGAATGATTGTAGCTCGGGATGCGGATGTTGGTGTTGGTAAGTTCTGCGAGCTCAAATTGTCGTTCGCAGACGTTTTGTAGCCAAGCTAGGCAACATCATCATCATCCCCAAAGTCGTATTGATGATGTTGCCTAGCTTGGCTACGAAACGTCTGCGAACAACACTTCCAGCTCGGAGAACACCAACAGTGTTAGGAACTTTTTACTACCCAGTTCGGAGTAGGTTAAACGACACCTGATGTGAATTTTTTGTTCAAAGTTCAGTCTGTCGTCTTTGCACATTAAAATGTGACCTGCAAGACATCAGGGCTACTGTAGACGTGCCGATTGCGCATAGTGCAGTTCATTTGTTTCTTCTGAGAACCCGTCGGGTGGATGTAGAGCAACAGGAACAGTGACGGACCGCGAGTGCAAGTGCGCTCTACAATCTTATGCGGTGTTCAATCGTGGGGGGACGATAATCAAGAGTAACCCCACCACATCATCGAGCGTCACCCTTCATCGTCCGTGACCGTGAATTCACGGTTCACTGCGAACATACGGACCGATCCCACCCCCCTTGTTCATCGTCACCTGACGACGCATCCGATTGCGCACAGTTCAGCTTTCGGTGAACAGTCAACGCACCAAAATAGTTGAAAACAAACCATTCATCTAAATCGATGGTCAACTTTTTTGTCTCTGTCTTCATCTGGTAACCGAAAAGTCATAAATTTGTCCAATAATTTTACTCTCAACTGGCCAACCGGTCTAGCTCTAGCGGCACTAGCGTCACGAGAACTAAATTTGGCCTCGAGCACAGCGTGACAGATCACACGTCCACCAACAATGTATGGATTTGTTCACTGAATAGTGTTCCTTCTGGACTCACACACACAACTATTGGTATAGTTTTTCCTATCCAGATCTTCATCCTACTCCACCCCGATCCCCTTCACATTAGTCGGTCATTTCTGACTAGCAAATTCGATTAGACCAGCAACGAATCAAGTCAAGTCGGACAGCTCTCGGCTAATTATGTGTGTGTGTACATACTCGCACACGTAAACATGGGGTGCGCGATGGAGAAACAAGTTCGAACAGGATTGTCGCGTCCGCGCCCTCAAT